GGGAGAGGGAGAAGCAGGCTTCCCGCCGAGCAGGGAGCCCGATCCGGGGGCTCGATCCCAGGACGCTGGGATCATGACCTGAGCCGAAGGCAGATGCTTAACGACTGAGCCACCCAGGCGCCCCTGTCTCATACTTTCTATTTCTCTGCCACCCAGTATGAAAAGTGATAGAAATGTTTGCTAAATAAATGGTGATGTGCAGGACGGTCAATGCTTTTACCAGCTTATTTGGGTACCCGGTGGTCCTGTTCTGTGGAAAGAGAGCAGGCCCAGAGTCCCTTTAGTTCTCTGGGCCATCTCCCAAGCCCATTTCTGAATTCTCAGAGCTCGGGCTTTCCGTCCGCGGGAGGCGGAGCCTTCCGTCAGAAGGTACTAGCGGTAGTCGCTGAAGGGAGTGCTGAAACCTCTTGCTAGAGAGGCCTCGTGCTGGTGCCCTCTGAGGCAGTACCTGTTTGGTTCACTTTAAGGGCAGAGGGTGAATTTCACCTCATCTGGCATCTTCTAAAGGCCTGATTTCTGAAAAGGGAATGCAAATAGGAGCAGAGCGAAGAGCTCCTGGAAGGAGTCATTAACCACGGAAGTCGGAAGTCGCAGACACTGTGTAGGAACAGGAATGCATTTATAGAGCAGAGATCACTGGTGCGGAGTGCTGGGCTCCTGTCATTTGACAGAGGCTTCCATGCTGCTCTGTTCGGGATCCCAGAGGCACGCTCTAGGTAGTTTACTATACAGCTGAGGAAATATATATTCTATATGTACCCACCCAGCCTCCAAACACTCCATTTGCTTGGTACTTAGCGCTCAGCAGGAAGTGAATTCTCCGTAGGCCCTGGTCCTGAAATTCCCATTCACCCTTTCTTTCAAATGCTGATTTGGCTAGAAGAAAAGAGCTTTAGTGATTACACAGAATCAGAAGCACTCAACACAGTTAGAAAAGCCAACAAGGAACAAGGGCTGGAGGGGTGAGCAACAGTTACAGATGATGCAGCTTAAACCCTGAAAAATAACAGAGGAGGTGATGGCTGGCAAGCCTTGCAGATGATCAGAGGCCACCAAGCCTTGGAGATGGTCTTGGAATCTGGAGGAAGAAAGGATTCTCTTAAGTGTGATCACCACTGTGGAAAAGGCAATGTGTGGGAAGGCGGGGAGGTTATTTTGGTGTGAACGCCACCTCCTCTGGATAGACTGACTTGTTCAGAGGAGTCTGGTACGAAGCCTTTAGTTGATGGAAGTGTCCAGAGGAACGGTCAGCAGAGAGCCTACCAAGATCCGCCCCCCAACCTGGACCCCAGCAGCACCCACGTCATCCTCACCCCTCTCCTGGCACCAGGAAGAGGACAGCCTGCTGGTGTGGGCCAAGAACCTTCTTGTTCCCAGCCTAATAACAAGGGGTGCTGGCACCAGTGATTTGCACTCCCCATTCCTAATCTCTGACTCTTCTAAGCTGAACCACCAGAGCACAGAGCCGGCTGGTTCGTCCCTGGAGCAAATGTAGGGCCTCTCAGAGCACTGTCTGAGTGCTCCGACAGGAGCTTTACCCAAAACTACACCTCCATCTTGTCCGACATCCTGGGTCCCCAGGCAACTCTGGCCGTTGGAGGAAGGAACATCCCTGCTTTTGTTTTGCTACCAGAAGGGGTGGGGAGTAGAAAGCAGGACACGTACAGCCACAATGAGGAAGTCCAGCCAGCACCAGGCATTGGTGAAGAACTTGACGAAGCCGTAGGCTGTCCACTTGAGCAGCATCTCCAGGATGAAGATGTAGGTGAAGACTTTGTCAGCGTATTCCAGGATGGTACGGATGGTCTTTCTCTGCTCGATGTAGATGTCCTCGAAGGCCTAAAAGAGAAGCAGTGGCTGCCTACCGTGCCTGAAGGCAGGCAAGCCGGGCTGGAAGGCCCCCCTCACCTCGGCAGCTCCTCCCCCTGCGGCGGGCCTAACCTCGGCTTCCTGTCTCTCTCACCCCACCCCCCTGCCTCATGCGGCTTCTTAGAAAAAGTCTTACTGAGATACAATCCACGTACCATGCAATTCAGCGATTTAAAGCTTACGGTTCAAAAGCTCTCAGTATATTCAGAGTTGTGCGTCCATCACACGATCAAGTTTAGAATATCTTTATCTACCCCAAAAAGAAACCCCACACCTTCTAGCTGCCACCCTCTAGCCTCCCTGTCTCCCACGAGTCCCAGGCAACCACTGTGCTATTTTCTCTCTTCACGTGAAGGGAATCAGCCGATCTGTGGTCCCTGGTGACTGGCTTCTCTCCCTGCGCACAGTTTTCCAAGTTCATCCATGCCGCAGCCCACATCAGTGCTGCATTTCTCGTGACTGCTGAATAAGACTCCAATGTACAGTTGTACCGCAGTCTGTTTACCTTCCTCACTGACGGACACTTGTGTGCCTACGTTCTGGCTATTGTGAACAGTGCTGCCGCGAGCATTCACGCATCCTTTTTTATGTGGACATGTCTTCATTTCTCTAGGGTGTAATACCAAGGAGCAGAACTGCCGGCTCACATGGTAACTGTAGGCTTCAGTTTTTGAGGTACTGCCAAACAGCTCCCCAAAATGGCAGCACCATTCTACATTTCCTCCGGCAGCGTATGAGGGTTCCAGGTTCTCCGTGTCCTTGCCAACACTCTATATGTTTATATGATAACATCTTTTCTCCCTTCAGCCCCTGATGCCACAGATTCAGGGGGAGGGTCACAGGGCTGGGAGATGCTCAGGTGAAGAAAATCTTAGTCTGACTTTCTCTCTCTGGAATTCCTGAATGAGGTCACGCCCTAACACGAAGGTATGAGCATTCCCATGACTGGAGTGGTGGGCTGCGGAGGGAGAGGAGGGGGTCCTGCAGCGTGAGAGAAAACTACAGGCGGAACAAAAGTCCCGTGTCCTGCAATGGGAGGTCCTGCTCCGGACAGTTCTGAAAGGAAGGACAGAATTGGGCTGCCTGCAGATACATTTCCAACATGGGGGCACATGGACATCAGGTACTCCAGTTCCATTACTGGGCAGTTGGGGAGAGGTCATAGGTCCATAGTCCTTCTCAGGGGTCCGCTCAGTGAAAAACTCAACAGCTTCCACGTCAAGTTTCCCCTTACCTCTCTTTGCAGAGATTCACTCTGTCACCCAATACATGTGAGATGCCCCAGACTGAGCTTCCCGTCACTGGTGGCTCAATTCCCTCTCTCTGAAGTCCCATCATAACCCCCTTCTTGGCTTCTCTCAGACATCTTAGCTATGGCTTCACTTTGTTATTTTTTTTTTTTTTTTGAGAGAGAGAGTGAGAGAGAGAGAGAGTGAGAGAGTGGAGAGTGGGGGTGAGGGTCAGAGGGAGAGAGAGAAAATCTCCATCAGACTCCCTGCTGAGCCCAACGCAGGGCTTGATCCTATAACCCTGAGATCATGACCTGAGCCGAAATCAAGAGTTGGGTGCTTAACCAACTGAGCCACCCAGGCGCCCCTTCACTTTACTATTTTTAGGTCTCAAGCCTACTAATTGCACAGGGTCTTCATGTACTGAGCCAAGTACCCCCTGTTTTATTCATCTACAATAAAGAAAAGCTGTCAAAGGTGAGCAGTAAAGAAAGTTCAAAACTTCTGTTTCACTGCTGCTTTTATTTTTTGTGGAGATGAGAAAGAGAAGAGTCAGATGAGGTATGTTCTCTTAATTTTGGGTTTCTGTTTACTAGGTTGGAGGAAGAGCGATGATGACAGTCACAAAACACCTTTCTCCTGGCACTGGCCTGAGTCTCGCGGGCAGAGACCGTGCTGTCATCTTGGGCTGCACAGCACCTTAGCCAGCACTGAGGGAAGGGCTGTGGAGTCAATAAAGGCCCAGAGCAGGCAGGGCAGTGGGACCCCTGCCTGGCTCAGATCCAGGCTACCAAGCCATCCCTCAGGCCTCCTGCATTTGTCCTGCTGCATTCCTGCATAATCCCTGCTTCCGCCCCCCACTCCCCACCAGCTCTTCTTTGCCACCTACTGCCTCCATTTCAGTTTCTCTTATTCTCCTACCTCATCAGTCGAAGCAAAACTTCTCAAGTCACTGTCGGGATCTTTAACACTAAATTTGGGGCTTCTTTCTTGCTATTTTCTGCATCCAGCTTAGGCTTTGCTTCCATCCCTACACAAATGTGCCCGCCTTCTTTGAAAGCATTTCAAAATTCTGTATTCTTCAGCTTTCCCTTAACTCAAACAAGGAAAATGTGCAGCATCTCTAAGTCCCTCCTATCCTCAAATCTATCCAACTGGGGAACAGCTCCCTCACCCGTGACCCTGTCCAGGTCTCCTCAGTTACAAGCCAGCTAAAATGAAAGCAAATGCTCAGATAATTAGTTCCAGCAGGGAAGGAGCCCGCGTGTTCAGTGCCCCCTGTGCCTCACACTGATCAGTGATAAGCACTTAGAATATGAACCACCTTTACACCAGAGGCCTGGCTCTTTAAGTATTTGCTAATGCCATGGGTTTTCCAAACCAGTTAGGGTGTGAGGGGAGATGGCGTAGGGGAACCCAACCTCTCTCCTATATGGGGCAAGTGAAAAGTAAAGAGCAAGATATTTGGGGTATTAGGCGAGAAAGGGAAGTTCATTTTAGGAAGTTGCTTAGGATGGGGCAAACTAAGCAGCGAAGATAATTAATTTGTGCTCTCATCCTGATTGAAAGGGGGTCTTGGACGTGAGTGGGGTCATGCTGAGTGTAAAGAAGATCAAGATGTAGCTAAGTGGATTCTAATCCTAAAGGCTCAAAACAACAGGCCAAAGCACTTTGGCAGGCCATTATCCTTGGGACCACAGCCATCCGTGCTCTCAGAGAAACTGGGCTTGGGCCCCCTCTGGTCTCTCCCACTAGTTCCTACAAAGCCTTCCCCAGCCCATCCCCTCCTCATCCTCTCCCCTGGACTCACCAGGGCGCCACTGCTGAGCAGAATCATGAAAATGATGAAGGTCTCAAACCAATTGTGCTCCACGATGAGGAAGCAGGTTTTCCTCAGGATCCACCAGGACTTGCCTAGCCCTTCTTCGATGTTGACCTGGCAGCACTTGAATCGCTGGACACAACCTGGCACCAGTGGGAGAGGCAGGTCAGACGGTGGAGCGTGCCCGCCCGGACCGGCCCTCGTGGGCTCTCAGGCCCCACCAGGCACTGCCCCACCACACAGCCGGGAGTACAGTGGCTGAATCGGAATGTCTGACTCAGACACGGACGGTGGCAGGGCTGGGGCTATGCCGCAAGACCACCAGGGCATGGCCTCTGCGGTTGGGAAGATGTCCTCTAAAGAAGCAGTGAGAGGGAGGAGAAAAGGGTAGCCAGGAGGCTGACACAGCCGTGACAGAACAGGCCTTGCTATCGGAAGTTTTTGGCCTGAGGCCAAGAGAAAATGGACAAAGAAATGTTTGTGAATAGAAACTCGCTATAGGTAGGAACCAAACAAGGGAAACAACATCAACTTCCCTCAAAACGCGGAGGTGGGGAACAAAGCTCCTGAAGATGGCCACGGAGCACCCACCCTCAGCCAACCACTGACCCCGGCAGAAATCCGCGAGCAGTGCCAGGCCCACAGGCCCACCCTTGTCCTTGCCCCCTTGCACCTTCTGTGAAGCAGGCATCTGGATCCAAGTACTCCTCTGGCTGTTCCACAGGGACTTCCTCTACTTCGGGTTTGATATCGATGGTGCTTCCTTCAGAGGAGCTAGTATCATCCAGTTTCTAGATTCGCAAAGAAAAGGGAGCTCAACCAACTTTGGAGCGGTACTTCCACTCCATCTGACAGTTCTACTTCAGGCATGGACGAGGGACCAGCTGTAATTCTTTGCAATTCTTACTATAAACTCATCATCATCCGGTTCCGGAGGGGCAAACAACTACCAGAGGGCCCTCAAAACTTCTGTCAGGACTGAGTAGAACACACTGAAGTCTGCTCCCAGATGAGCGATCCACCCTACACAAAATGTGGCTACTGGTGGGTCTCAGTGCTACAGCTCAGACAGATTAACGGCAGGGCAGTTCTGGAGGGTTTGCTTCAGCCTCTGACTGAGATGATCCAGCAGCAATGGAGACGGATCTAGGACCATCTCAGGAAACTAGGTCACCCAGGGAAGGTCTAGAATGACAGTGGGTATTAGGGTTGGTTCCCAAACCTAGCTGGCTATTCCACAGTCTCTCCACCAAGCCCATAGCTGAACCAGTCTCGGGAGCTGACAGGGCCCTATTTGTTCCCACACAGAATCGAGGTTGGGTTCTAGACTGGGACCTTACATCTTTGCTGCCTTCAGGATCCGACTCGCTGCTAACATCCTCTGTGTTGAGGTTCTCAAAATCAGACTCTCCGACAGCAATGGGCACCCGCACAGTCAAGTTGGGGTTGTTGATGAAGGACATGTGGTCCTCATCAATGATATACTTCTCCACACTGCTGCCAATGCCGCTGGTTGTGCCATTGCCGTTCTTCTGGAAGTCACCGTTCCGGTGGATGTCTGCCCCAGTGTGGTTGGCGATGCAGTTGGCCTTCTTTTCATACAGCTCGTCCAGAGGCTTCACCTCGTCGGCCTCACGCTGCTTGAAGTGGGCCTGCATGAAGGCATGCACTTTCAGTTTGGCCCAAGCCACCCCCTTCTTGATCCGGATGACTGAGATTTGTAGGTTGTTCATTTCCCCATCGTCGTCTGTGGCGGCCAGGTTGTCTGCACTGAAGGAGCTCAGAAGCAAGGCCAGAAACAGGTTCAGCACCTGCACCAGTGGCATTAGGAGAAAGGAGAAGGAACGTAGAGGGTGGTATTAAGCAAAGTCAGCCAGCAAACTAGGATTAAAACTGGAAGCCCACACACTTACGTGACAGGCACAAGAGTTTCTATCGCAATAAACATAGGGGTGCATATATCTTTCCTAATTAGTGTTGTTGTTTTCTTTGGGAAGATACCCAGTAATGGAATTACTGGATCATATGGTAGTTCTATTTTTAACTTTGTGAGGAACCTCCATACTCTTTTCCACCAAGGGGACAGTTTGTTTGGTTTTGGTTGTAATACAAGGTTGGCACCTCTTTTCTTGGTTCTCTTATAGTTTGACATACATATGTATGTACCCCCAAATATATTACTTTTCTTATAATCAGATAAAATAAAAACTGTATCCATCTTGGGAAACAATTCCCCCTCAAACCAAAGAAAAAGATGGACATGGCTTACTGGGAGGACTGAAGAAGGGACAGATGCCATGTATTCACGGGCAGTGGACGTCTTGGAGAACCCACATGAGAAAAACAACTAGGCTTGGAGAGCCATGAGCTCTTACAACAAATCAAGAAAGAAGAATTGCAATACAGCTCATGTCATCTGAAGAATTAATTTCCTTTGTTTTCCTAACATTTATAAAATAAAATAGCTTAATAAGACAGTGATGGTGACTGTTGTGTTCTGTTGTATATCTAAGTGTCCAGCCATCAGATGTAAGCTTTATTTATTTATGTTTTAATAGCCTATTTTACCACATTGGACATTAAGATTAATTTATTTTTATTAAGACTTACTTTACAAATTGGGAGAGGTGTTCACTTCTTGACTTACACCTGGCCCTTACTTTGTAACACTTCTGAAGAAGAGCAAGCAACACATTTTGGGTGGGGATAATAGTATGGGTAGAGTAGGAGGGATGGAAACAATAAGTGAACTTTATGTATGCAAATTATTCGGGCCATTCGTAGAATTACAAAGGAATATGGTTGGTAAAATGGGGGTGAGTTGGAGGGGGCTCTGAAGGCCAGGCTGAGGGATTTGAATTTTATGTAATTGGATTCACTATTGGTCTTTGAGTAAGGGAGTAAGAGATGATAGAGATTTGAGAAACTCATTCCTACCAGGTACGTACAGTTAGAGCTGTTACTTGCATGAGTTAATAAGGGTCTGGATTAGGCTATTGTAATCTCAAACCTTAGAGCATGCATGAAAATCTCCTGGAGTGGGGGAGTTACATGAAAAAATACATATTTCCTTGGCCTCACCTTTAAGATTTGATTCAGTAGATCTGCTATAGGCCCTGGGACAGCCTTTTTTAATGAGTGAAACTTGGATGGCTGTGATCTTCAGACCACACTTTTAAAAATACTGGATGGGCTACAGGAATGGAAAGGATGGGGAAGATCTTAGAAATACTATGAAGATGTATGAAAGGCATCAGACAATTTACTGGGAAGGGAGAGAAGAGAGTCAGAAGAGACTTACAGTCACAGATTCCCAGAGACTAGGTGGGCAGAAGGACTGAGCAAAGGGGAACCTGGAAAGGTGTCATCAGAAGCAGAAATAAAGTCACATGCTCAGGTGTCTGTAGAGTCATGGGGAGAGGATGCGGAGACAAGTGAGGAGAATGGAGAAAGGGGGGCGAGGTCAGGGCTGGGAAATGTGGATCCCACTATGTACCAGGAGGCAAAGCTGCATTCACTGAAGAAGTGGGAAGGCTAGCGGGAGTAGCACTGAGGGAAGGATGGTCGGGAATGGAGAAAGGGAGGGATTACAGAAACATCACAGTGTCTATTTTTACAGATCATAGGAAAGAATAGGGTGGCACGGCTGGTTCGGAGCCTGGTGAGCTGGAACTCTCTCCTGGCATGCTTCTCTATGGCACAAAAAGGAGGAAAACTGCTCTGGATGAGCTGACGGGGGTTATCTGGGTTTGCTTTCTTCCAGCCCCCCTTGCTCTAGACTTGCAAGTTGGATTGGGCCTGACCTGAAAGACAAGTACTTCTTAAACTTTAGTGTGCATGTCAATCACCTGGGGGTCCTGTTAAAAATGCAGATTCTGATTCAGTAGTTCTGGGGTGAGGCCCAAGATTCTGCATTTCTAACATACTCTAAAGTGATCTCATTGTTGCTAGTCCTCTGACCACACTTTGAGAAACATGGCGTCAAAATCTCTGTTGGTGAATATTCTACATACAGAGGCAGAAGACAGCAGGCTGACAGATCAGAGTAAAGCAAAAAAGTGATTAGCCATTTATACAAGTTAGATAAAACCCTCCGTCGGTTTAGATCAGTGGTTCTCAATGGAGGGCAATTTTGCCTCATAGGGGACAGTTGGCAACATCTGGAGACATTTTTGGTTGTCACATATTAGGGTTGGAGGGGGGCATTACTGGCCAGTAAAATGTAGAGGTCAGGAATGCTGCTCAACATCCTACAACACATAGGATAATCCTACAACAAAAAATTATCTAACCCAAAGTGCCAACAGGGTCAAGGTTGAGAAATTCTAATTTAAATGAAGGATACTTCTGTAGTAGAAAGAGCATAGATTTTGTAGTCCAGGATCTAATACATGCCCTGACATTTACCAGTTGCCTGACTTCCAGGAAGGTCACTTAACTTTGCTGAGTTTTGTTTCCATAACTATGAAAAAGGGCTGACAGGTTGTGGGGCTTATGACTCAGCAGGCCTCTGCAAAGAGCAGTCTCCTCTCCCTCATTTGTACCTTAGGGTTCTTGAGCCAAGAAAGACTAAAAACCAGCACAGACATGGAAGCTAGTAGGACCAAGCCCATTGGGCATCCGGGTCAAGGGTTAAGATGTTCCGGGCAAAGAATGAAAAGTTGTACAAGTTAGTACTAACCACCAAGTTGCCAATAACCATGACCATCATGAAGACAATGAGGCACATGGCCTGGCCTGCCACTTCCATGCAGTCCCACATGGTCTCGATCCACTCCCCGCACAACACTCGAAAGACAATGAGGAAGGAATGGAAAAAGTCATTCATGTGCCAGCGAGGGAGTTCACAGTCCTGGTTGATCTTGCAGACACACTCTTTGTAGCTCTTTCCAAAGAGTTGCATTCCTACCACGGCAAAGATAAAGACAATAATGGCCAGCACCAGGGTCAGGTTGCCCAGGGCACCCACTGAATTTCCAATAATCTTGATCAGCATGTTCAGGGTGGGCCAGGATTTGGCCAATTTGAAGACTCGGAGCTAAGGGGAAAAAAAACAAAACAAAAATCAAATGATACTCAATCCACGTTCTTCCACATGGCTAAAATAAAAATATATAAAATTAGTGAGATCAGCTTAAATTTATTGAGCACCTTTGGGAAGTTCCCAGGACTTTCTGTCTTAGACTAAAATGGGAGAATGTGAGGCATAGACAGGGAAAATGGATTAGTTTCACAGTAAGTGAAAGACTTAAACTAGGAACCAAGAATATTGCCTCTAGCCCCCTGTATTAGTCTCTGAGTCAAACCACTTTTTATGTTTTATTTTTTAACTTTTATTTTTTTTTAAGTAGGCTCCATGCCCAGCACGAAGCCCAACAGGGGGTTTGAACTCATGACCCTGAGATCAAGACCTGAACTGAGATCAATAGTTGGGATGCTTAACCAACTAAGCCACGCTGGCACCCCTCAATCCACTTTTTAAGAACCCATACATGAATATATCCTTTTGTTATTGATTTTGCCTTGACTTCTCAAGGAGCATATGAAGGAAAATGTGAGTTGTAGTAAAGCAAAAGATCAGGATGGTAAGGACAGTGAAAAATAAATCATAACTCTTTAAAAAAAACTGCATTTAAAAATTCTAAATATCTTGGGGCGCCTGGGTGGCTCAGTCATTAAGCATCTGCCTTCGGCTCAGGTCATGATCCCAGGGTCCTGGGATCGAGCCCCACATCCGGCTCCTTACTCAGCGGGAAGCCTGCTTCTCCCTCTCCCACTCCCCCGCCTGTGTTCCCTCTCTCGCTGTCTCTCTCTCTAACAAATAAATAAAATCTTAAAAAAAAAATCTAAATATCTCTCTTTTTGCTTGCCAATAAATAATCAATACGAAACTTTGAGATATGCTTGGAATAACTTGGAGGAAGAGCACAATGCCCTAGTAGGTGCAGTTCCACATATACCAAACATCTTATGAAAAGGGCCTATAATGATATTAACTCAGAGGACAGAACTTCTGTTACCTGCAATCATGATATTTCTATATTCTGTAATGAATGACTTACAAGGTCTTAGCTAATAGTCTGAGAATCGTAATGCATAAAGCCCATGAATGAAATGATAATGATGAGATCATCTTCAGATGTCATAAGTTAATAACTAACACAGGATTAATAGGAATTCTGGTAGAAGGCAACAGCACAGAATGGAACATTTTTTCCCGATTAAAAGCTTTAGTCTTATCTGAGAGTTCAAGATTTACCAGGTGTTTCTCTGTATGAATATCTGGATCGTTCATATTTTTTCCCTTTCTGACTGGCTTTTTAAATTATAAGGAATACTAGTGCTAATTCCACCTCTTAGTCCTTCATCTCATCTTCCAGCTAATGAGAACAATTTTCAAAAAGTCTACTGTGGGCTGGATCCTAACCCAAGACTAGTAAGCAGAGGTTCCAGAAACTTGGCAGATGTTATTTGTGACTTAGACTGAGCAAGACCTCTCTTTTATAAATAATTCCATTCTGTTCCAATTCTCTTTCTTCAACATGCTGAATATCCTAATGAAAAAACCTAAAATCCTTTCAGTTATAAGTGCTAAGGTATTTTTCCCAATAGGGAGAGAAAAACCTAAGCCAGTTCTGATGCTCTGAGTAGGATATCCCCCAAGTAACTCAGCTTCTCAAGGGACTTAATCAGGACATCGTTTATGCCTGTGTTTATGGGAAGCTATTTCGAGGATATCATTAACTATTCTTTCAAAGTCATTTTAGTAATTTTAACATTCACTTCTTCAAATACATTACAAAATCCTCAGCTAATGTTATGGGAAAAAAGCCAACGTTCAACAATTAATTTCAATATAATTTTAAAGAATACTATTTTATTCCTGTTTTCTGGAAGGTGTCACCATGATGGAAGAAATGAGAGATATCTTTGAACAAGGAGAAATTCCATTTCAGGGAGATGTTCAAATAAAGAAACAAATTTACTAGCAAATTCATTAGACCTCAGAATAGCCCTTAGGATCCTTTTTCATCTTTTAGATTAACCATTATTTTCTGAGGAACTTCCTAAAATTGACCTCTGTTTGTTGATTGATATTAAAAACTAACTTCTATATTAGGCACTTAGCAGAAAAATTTTCAAGATTTTAGTATCTAAGCCAATAAACTGCCAACAGGAATTGTGAGTAGAGTATAGCTAAGGATTTTTTTAATCATCAAATTAACTTAGGCAAAGATTTTTTAGTAGCTGCAAGACAGGAAATGTAAAAAGAAATTGGAGAAATATGGAATACCAATCGGAAAGATCGCAGCACCGAAAGCCCCTCCACGTCTGCTAGACCCAGTTCCATTAAACTGAGGGAGACAATAAATCCGTCAAAAATGTTCCAACCTTCTTGGAAATAATAGTAGGGATCCATGGCTATGAGCTTCAGGAACATTTCCGCTGTGAAAATTCCAGTGAAAACCTAAAGAGGGGAAGGCAGGGGGTAAGAAAAAGAAATAATAGAAAGAGAATGCCTTTATCATTATCTTTGAATACAACATGTCCAAGAAGCTGCAAGAGCTAGCCTTATTAAATTGTGCATCTGAGGACATCAGCACTTAGATGTCGCATGACTACTCCACATGATGCAGGAGAGCCTTGTTTTCCTCTTGAATCAAGTACTCAGTCCCAACGTTCACCTTCATTGCCAGAACCACCTGATTCACATTGTTCAAGACCACATTTAAAAAGCTATTTTAAGCAACAGGAAGACCACAGAGGGGATCCCTTCTAAAGGCTCAGCAGTCATTTTGAATGTTTATGTTTGGGATAGTTGCCTAAAACAAACAAACAAAAAAACACCACTCATTGAATTATAATTCTATTTTAAAAATATACAGTTATTCCTGATTTGATATTATGTGTCTTATCAAAGGTTGACATATGCTGCAGAGTTTCTTATTTTAAATTGTAAAAGCAACAGAACACTGCTAATAGTGTATAAATTATGGGAAAAAAGTATAGTCTCATCATCTTGCATACAACCATCATTTTTATGTATTCCCTTTCTGGTTTTTTTCAAATGCATATATATTTTGACAGAGTTATAAAATCACAGAGTACATAATATCTTGGGTCTTATTTTTCACTTATCATAATTCAATCCATGTTGCTACATAGGCTTCTGAATTCCCATTTATATCGCTTGTATAAAATTCTACTGAGTATATCCTCAAAGAACTTTCTTTTCTTTTTATTAAAGATTTATTTATTTATTTTAGAGAGAGAGAGAGAGTGTGAGCAGGGGGAGGGGCAGAGGGAGAGAGAGAGAAAGAATCTCAAACACACTCCCCACTGAGCACGGAGCCTGTTGCAACATGGGGCTCGATCCTAGGACCTTGAGATCATAACGTGAGCTGAAATCAAGAGCTGGCCGCTTAACCAACTGAGCCACTCAGGTGCCCCTCAAAAATTTTTCTCATTGTTGGAGACTTTGGTGCTTCCTTTTGATTATTTCAATATGAGAATCAATGATGTAATAACTGTTTTAGGCTTGGAGCTTATTGGGTATGAGAATGACTTCTTCCCAGTGTTACACGACTCCTACTTTTCTACCTTTCAGAGCACCCTGTGTCTCCCAATGCCTTCTATATCCCATAGGACTTGGTAACATAACATGCAGTAAGAAAGTAAAATCCCACAAATGCCAGTTTCGACAAGACCAATACCCTCATTCTAAGCTAACCATGTAACAACAGACTCTTACTGAATATCATAATATGTACTTTATATGTAATAGGTTTTAAACTCATAATAAATTACAGCTTACAACTACCCGGTTACCAAGTTTACAAAGGAAGCAGTTTTAGGAAACTTTGAAGATATGGTCTGAGGACAAAACTGGAAATAGTGAAAAATACTTAGATTACACACAGTGTTTGGAAACAGACTCAATGAATGTATAGCAATGGCAAAACAGAACAGTGTGATGGAAATCAAAATGGATACGTGGGCTGTAAGGTTTTGTGTCTGTGTACTTTTCCATGGCTCCCCATTTTTCTAAACTGAAGATGCAGTATTCTAGAACTGAAAGAAAATATTCCCTAGAGATCCAGTTAAGCAAAATCAAAGTTCACAGTGCATGCTAAGCATCTACAGATGGAACATCACTGTAAGTGAGGGCAGCTAATCAATTCCCGCCAGACATTTTACCCTCAGCGTAAACCTATGGAAGGTTTCTCTATATAGAAATGTCAGCCTGCTTACTGCACACTAAGTAGAGACTGCATCTGCTGTCCTGTTGGTTCTGGTGAACACACAGGAAATGCTCAGTAATAAGCACTGGCTAACTGACCATGGAATATTTATACTGTGGGAACTCTGGTTCCTAAGAGAAAATCAACGATGACAGAGTACTGTTGCTTTTCAATGGGATGAATGGCACCCAGATGCCGGGCAGAAATGCCTGTGACAGAGGTCAGCAACCATGTTATTTCAACATACAGTGATTGCCATCATTTGGGGTTTGCTGGTATGAAAGAACTACTTTTTTACAAATGGAAAAGAGTAGATTTAAGGCTATCCCTATGATGCCATTCTAATTTGCACTGTGGTATGCTTCTTGAGGAGGAGAAAAAAGGAGAATTATAAGCAGAGTATCAACCAACAACTGTACATAGATGTGGCTCTTGTGAGTGTCCTCAAATATTCACCTAGGAATTTATGTCCTAATGTAGCAGTTCTCAAAGAAATTGGGACTGGGGTGTCAGGGCCTGACAAGTGTGGGGAGAGGTAAACCTACAGGGAGGACACTGGTGTGGATGCTGGATATCTAGCATAGGAAGCCAGAGCCTGAACAGGGCAAGGAGGACCATCACCTTGCAAGAGGTAACAGTGGTTTTTTGATCAAATAAATACACTAGAGATAGTGGCAACCAGGTTTCTTTTTGTCAGAGGAGTTACAACTATAGAAAGGGAGACACCAGAATGAATCCGGTAATGCTGGACTAGAATAAACAGCTAGCCCCATACTGAGAGGGCCCAGTCATGCACATTGCCTCCAGTAGATCTTGACTTCTAAATATCATTTTCCACTACAACAACCAGGGCTCCTTGAGAAATGGCTGGTCCAGGCCTGAGATGGGAAAAATATAAAATTAGCCTGGAATATTCTGTGATACCAGAAAAAAGGAAGTAATGAGGATATGTTAACAGGACACAGAAACCAGCTTGACGGAACTCTCAGTGGCCAAATCAGGAATGGTTTAAACATTTAGGTAAATGATAATAATGGATTATAACCCACCAGATAAAACTGAAAGCCATGAGTCCATGTTGATATAAATAAATGAGTAAATCATAAGTTTAACAAAGAAAAGTAAATTTAGATAATTTCAAAACATCTTCACAAAGATTTACTGACTATAATGGAATTATAGATGAAAAGAGTAATTCTACAGGAGAGAAGACTGGAAGACCCCTCCTTCATCAACTGACCAAGTGACCATCACCAATATGGGACAAATGGAAACTGTGCCACCTGGAAGGTTCAAAGAGAAGACAGCCTCGCTTGTGTGATATTCCTGCCAAATGTGTAAGCTGAGTCTAATCGTGAGGAAGCATCAGACAAACTGAACTTGAGGGAATTCTACAAAATAACTGGCCTGTAGTCTTCCCAAGTGCCAAGGTCAAGAGAGCCAATGAAAGACTGAGAAAGTCCGCCAAGCTGAAGAAGACTGAAGAGACAGGACAACCGAATGCAACAGGAGATTGGAACGGCATCCTTTTGTTAGAGAGGACATGACTGGGATTTCTGGCAGAACCTGAAGGGGCCTGAGAATGAAGTGTCTGTGAGGTGCACAGGAATTTCTTGAGTCTGATGGCTGTATCGTGGTTTTGCATGAGAGTGTACTGTTCATAAAACACACACGCGAGAGGCTGAGAGGCTGTGTCAGCAACTTACTGTCCAAAAAATTGTCTTAGACTGTACCTGAAATCTTTCTCCAAGATTGAGATTGCTTAAAAAACAAAACAAAACGAAACAAAACAAAACAAAACACCTTATAAACTCACTGTTGTGTTCAAATGATTGCAAAAAAGGCAAGAAAAGAATCTTTACATTTATCTCCTGAATAACACAAAAGTTGTAGATAGTCTCCCTGGGCTTCCATTTCCTCTATGGAACACGGGGGATGGATAGAATTATCTGTAAGGTTCTTCCTCGTATTAATGTTTTTCCTTGTGGGGAGGGTGGAAGAGGCAGGAGGGACCCTCACTTTACAGCAAACTATTCTCTTCTATCATCAGAAACCTCCATCTGTGTATCTATGGACAAACACAGCTCAATTCACTGTCCCAGCTATGGGAAGTCCTCAGAGTTCCAACCGTGAGACAAGATCGTCCCCTATTTCACAAGCTGGTCAATCTCACTCTTTTCCATCTTCTTTTTCTCAGGTTTAGTCAAAGACTCTCTAGATGTCTAAGCCTTTGGGAGCTCCTCTCTGCTTGTTAGATGGGATGCTGCCTGATTAATGAATCATTTAATAAAGCCAAAGTCCAAGCTACTGAATTACACTAATACAGTTCCCATGATTTGTAGAGTGCTTTTCACTATTCCCAAAACTTCTCTATAGGTTCTCATTTTATCCTCCCAACTACTGATGACATGGTGTTATCCTCGTTTCATAGATGCAAACATTTGTGGTTAGAAATGAGTAGCATATTTTAAGTTAGTATGTCCAAAACAGAACTCTTGATTTTAAACTCCAAACCTATTCCTTTCTCAGTCATCCTACTTCCCTCTTAGCTACTAAACTTCCAAATCTAGGTACCATTCTTCATTTCTTTCCCTTCACGCTCACCTCGAATCTACTGGCCATTCCACAGTGTCCTGAACCATTCACTATTTTCCATCCCCACTACTAATTGCATGCTTACAATTCTTTACAATCCCTTGAAAATTCTTGCCCCCAGAGTGCTTTCTCATTTTAAAGCTCGGTTTTGGTTAGCTTGCTTCAAGAAATCCCTGAATATTAGTTGCTGACCTTCCCTTCTCTCCTCTTTCTTCTCGGTGATTCTGAGCAAAGTCTTCTGAATGCTCACAACTCTAATTTAGGTGTAACCCTAAGTCTCTACAGATTTTTAAGAAAGGGAAAAATAATGTTATCTCCTGGCCTGGTCTGAGGGCAATTCTGCTGGTGGTCGGTGAAAAGGCCTCTCAAAATCCCTTCAAAATCAAGGACTCATTCTGTAAAAAGCAAGTAAAAGTAAAGACTTTAAGAAAAACAAACCATCACCGGGAAAATACCACCACCACCATCATCAACAACAAAATTATCAAGTCATATTTTTCATTACTTAACTCTTGGCTAATAAAATAAAGCTCTTATCTGTACCATTTTGTTGACTGGTTCAAAATGTTGCTTGATGGCCAAGCTTCTGGTCAGCCAGTCACACGGCCCACTGTCAGGTACCCTTCAGAGTCAGCAGATCTCCTGGACAGCCTATGAGAGTGTCCTGTTTCAAGACCACCCATATTTCACCAGGCTGCACATGAGGGTTTACGTCGAAGCAGTGAGTGCCTGAAGTGTGGCACTAACTCAGACATGGAGAGTGGAAAGACCACAGAATTATCTTGGACATATACCAGGGAACAGGATAGGCTGCAAGGACTAAGCAGATAAAGGATCTCCTCCTTTGCCATGTGTTTTCATAATCAGAACTCAAAATGATATTATAACACTCTAATAGTCTATTAGGACTTAACGTAAAAACTCTTTGTGTGTATGAGGCATGTGTGTGTGTGTGTGCGCGTGTGGGGGGAGGGAGAGGGAGAGAGAGAGAGAGAGGGAGAGGGAGAGGGAGAGGGAGAACATCAGGCAGAGATCATACTCAAAAGGTAACAGACAACTAGATTTGACTTGCGCATGGTGAAACTCCTAAGGAATAATGAAGCCCAGATGACCTAGAAGATTCTTTCCAACTAAATCTTTCCTATCTATAAAAATTCAATCAACTCCTGATTTTTGGATTAAAGAAATAAAACAGATAATCCCCAAAACACAACTATTTGACTTCAGAAACAATTAAAAAAAACCAACCTCATTCTTATCTTCTAAACAATATGATAAATTAAATATATGACTTAAGCTAACATTAAAATAAATTTGGCACAGATCAACTAACGGTAGAAACTGGATGAGAGCCCAGAAGTTGGATGTGAGGGGGAAACCAGCCTAGAATTAAAAGTTTCCCACAGATAGGCCCCATATGGATAATTAAGATATGACAGTGCAGGCAAATTTATAGTTATGTTTAATGCACTAAAAGAGCTCCCCTATTTTGTGGTGGTTGTTACTGAAGGTGAAAGGGGAAGTGATGTGCTGGAGTAATGCAGGAATCAATGTGAGAAACAGAATGAGAAAAAAAAATCCAGACGTCCTTGGCTCAGGTTGCTGAAACCAACCCACTGCACCATGCCTCCCATTCTGTCACCATGGCTGGTTTTCTGCCAATAGCTCCTAAATGACGTCTTCAAAGTTCTGCAGAAAGAGGAAACAGCCAAGGGATCACAACAGTGAGCAGAAGTGACTGGGGCTACGCCATATGTGGAAGCATTTGTCTTCCAATTAACTATTACTTTCTTTTCAACTAAACTCCAGCTTCCAGTATCAGAAAAAGATGTCCTACAGGCAAAACATGTTCAGATCATAAAATCAGGAGACAGTATTCTGTCTTACCAGATTTCCTACAGCCAAGACGTGTTCAAACTGTGGTGTCATGGGATGGTGCTCCATGGCCATAAACAGGGTATTGAGGACAATGCAGATGGTGATGGCCAAGTCCACAAAAGGATCCATAACGATCAAGTTCACAATCTCTTTCAGTTTTATCCAGTAGGGGTGACACTCCCAGATGAGGAAAGTATTGGCAAATTTATACCAGCATGGCGGGCACTTTCTCTGAGACTCTTCCAGCTCTGCAGTGAGTAAAAGAACAAACACAGGGAGAAAACAAAGGGGGCTGCTACTAATCCTCTGCTGGGTCGTTATCACTGCTATTCACCACAAGAAAGGTGGTTTGAAGGCTGTCTGTCCTGAGTGTGTAGTTGCTGCCCCCCACCCCATTTTCTTTCTCATGAAGGGAAAGAGGAGGCAGGGGCAGTCCCAGGTCACTTCCCTGTTAACAACTATCTGGTTATAAACTAGGGTTTGATCTGTCCGTTTTGGGAGCACAGCATCATGGTTAGGAGCTTGGCCTCTGGAATCTGACTCCCCGGTCCAACTGGCTTCAACACTCACGACTGTGTGATCTCAGGCAAGTTACTTATTCCTCTACACTTCTGTTGCCTCATCTGAAATGACACTTCCTTTACAGGCTATAGGACTAAACGAGTCCTATAATCCTCATCCACTGACTGAGGAGTAAGTGAGTGGGTGAACACAAAGCGGCCAGCACAGGGCCCGGCACACGGCAAGTCCTTGATAAATGGTGGGTTTTATATTATACATCATATCACTAAATCATTATCAGAGAAGCAGTCAAAAGCACAGACCCTGAAGCCAGACGTACCTGGGTGCTCAGCCACTGCTCAGTGGGGGAACCTGAGTACAGTACTTCAATTTGCTGGAAGAATGAAATGGGCTATGATAGAAAGTGAAAGTGCCTCGGAGCGCCCTGGTCTACAGTAAGTGCTACAGAAGCATTCGCTCTTCCCATTCTCTAGGCAGCAGAGGCAGGGCGGGTGGCCGGCGGCTGGCAAGCCAGTGCAGGCTGTTCCCTCCGGTCCCAAAGAAGTACAAGTCAGTGAGTTCGCCCAGTGAGCCCACTGAGGTGGGCACAGGAGTCCCACTCCTCTCTCTTCTCCTCTTTCTCATCCCTCCCCTTCCCTTCGTCATTTTCGTCCTCCCTCCCCTCTTCCCTTCCTTGGTCTCTCTCTTCTTTCCTTTTTCTTATCTTCTTTCAGTCTGGCTCTCTTGCTTTAAAAAAAAAAAACAGACTGTTTAGTTTCCAACAAGATCTTATGTGATCCCCAATATAAAAAACTGTTCTAGTTGATGCAGGAAGAGGAGCCCAGTCTGACCACGGACTTCCTCCTTCCCTGAGGCACTTCCCTAGAATCCTGGACATAGACTGAATATCATGGACCATGGTGATCTCTAAGGTCATTCAAGAAACAAAGATGAAAAAGGACCATTAGACACTAAAGGAAGAGAGCCATTCAGCTGGCAGCCACAACAATCCAGGCATTAGGCCATAGGTAACAAAGCCCTCCTCAAGTACAGTATGACTTATATAATAGCTTGGGTTACCAAAGTCCAAGGACCTTGATCTCCCAGGATGTTCTTTAAGAGATGTAGCTTTGAAAACCGGTCAGCATGATAATCCTTAGAGGCAAGGTCTTGGTTCCACGGGGTTGGATATCTATTCCACACCCCAACCCAATTCTGCTGACAAAATCAAATCATTCAGGGAATGAAAAAAAGTTTCCCAATGTTTCACCAAGAACAAGATGGCTGCCTTAAATTAGTCTACTTTCCCTTTTTCCAACCAGCTGGATGGTGCCCATGGTGATGGCTTTATTTTAGATGGGGTGCTTTGGTTGGGTTTTTGATTGGCTCCCTGGTTGCTAAGAAAATGGTTGCCTTGGTTTTTCAGATTTAAGGGCCACAGTAAGCGCCACGTGGGAGTCTGCGTGGGAAAGGAAGTCTGTGAAGAAAATTTGCTTTGGCTTCTTCCTCATAGAACTCCCTCCCTTCCCAAGGTAAATTTAGTTTTCTAACCAAAAAAAGAAAATGAAAAGGTTCTCTTATTTCCATAAATTCTTACAGTACATATTTGGAAATTTGGTTCCGTTCCTTTTTTTTAATCTCCTCCCTTCTCCAAACGTCTGTTCACTGGCACGTGGAGGTTAAAGCAGCAACTGTTCACGTCTCTGACAGTAGACACAATTGCAGTGTTGTACAGTGCTCTAGGCTCCAAGTCTCTGCCAGACACTGAAGAAGGGTTTCCCCACCCTATGGGGCATCAAGAAGATTCCTACAGGGATACTAGGGATCTTATCCACATTTTCTCAGGTAAGATCCCAGGATAATCTTTTCTGTTCCACAAACGGTAAGACAATGTAGAGCTTTAGGAGCTAGAAAAGATCAGTTAGGTGAAAACAGAGGTTTATAAACTGACTCACAACTTGACAAACTGTTACTGGTCCCACATGCCTGAAGCGGCTAAGAATTTGGTCTGGGGGAATGGGTTAACATATCCAAAGAAATATCCAAAGGTTTGTGGGGTCCCCCTTACTTTGCTCCTGGACATTCTCAAGAGATTACTGTAGTCTCAACCTCAGGGGTGCTGGGAATTGTTTTCAGAGAGGGCCTCACAATTCCAAGATGGTGGTGTTAGTAGACCGTGAGGGTTCTGAGGGCAGGGCTTCTCTCAATTCAATTCAACAACTTTGAAACACCTACAGTGTGTGAGGCCCTGGGAATACGCTGATGAACAAGAGTCCCCACCCTCACAGAGCTTGCAGCCACACCCATGAAAGACAGCAGGTAAGTAATGATGCTGACTGACACTTGGGGCTGGTCAATCGAACACAAGAGTGAATCAACAAATCATGGCAGCCAACAGCTATGGCCAGTTGTCTTTACAAGGCAGTTTTTGAACCTGTTTTACCTGAGAACCAATAATGCCAAGTACTACCATCACTTCTTCATTCTTACTTCACCAACTCCCTCCCCTTCTCCCACAGCTTCACTGCTCAGAGAAGTGAGGCTATAGTAGTCTGCCTACAACCTACCCCCAGTCCTCTGAAATATCCCCAAGCTGATGGCTCTGCTGACTAAATTCTGCTGAGTTTCCTGGATCCGGGTGAGCATGTCTGCAACGGGATTGGGGGACACACAGCAGGCAGGATTTTCTCCTTATTTACACGCTTCTGGAATTCTCCACTGTGTTCTCTAAGATATCAGGTAGGTAGAAGTCTGCTTCTTTGGTTTGGTAATCCAAAGATTAAAACAACGTCAGAGTTTCCTAACTGAAGTCTGAGAAGCAGGAACAATTATTCATTCAATGCTGGCTTTTCATGTTGTAGCAATCATTGAATACAGAGGGACCAGCAGTTAAATAGGAATGGATCTTTCTTAATGTCCTTTAATTCCCTCTCACATTATTCAGCTCCAGCCATTCATTGTTCTTTGCTTACAGCAGTTCTGTCTCATCAGCTTTAACAAAGGGAGTCGAATACTAGGGGAGGAGATAGGGGAATGTCAAAGGCTATGTGAACATTGGGACTTCAAAAAGGGAGAAAGAACTGGAATGGCTTCCTACTCAGGAACACAAGTATGACTGTCTCTCTCTCCCCTGAGCTACCCCTATATCTATTTTTTATTATGTATGTGCTGGTGGGTGGAGGGTAGAGAATGAGTAGGGTAGAACAGGAAGAAAAAGAAGAGTACGGGGAGAAGAGGAAGAAAATGGAGAAGAAAAAGACCAAGCTACTGCTCCAGTGGTTTCTACCCAACTCAGTAGAGGAATAGAAGCACCAAGGCCTCCAAAAGGAAGCCCGCAGCACGGAAGCCCCACCGCTCCAAGCATGGCAAGGGTCAGTCTAACAAACATTTTGGGCGCATGTACTTTTACTAGACCCTGTGCTGGGCCACTGCAGTAGTCAAACTGAGTAACTGTTGGATTGCATCAATAGTTCTCCCATTCTGATGTCTTTGCCGTCATAAAATATGCCTGTTGGAGGTGGTTCATTTGTCTTTCTCGATGTCCACAGATATCCAGAGAAATCCTGTCCTTGTCTCCAAGTAAAGAATAAAATTAGCCAAGGTTCTTAAGCTAGTGTTTCTTAGCTTGGAATTCTTTTTTTTTTTTTTTTTTAAGATTTTATTTATTTATTTGACAGAGACATAGCGAGAGAGGGAACACAAGCAGG